GGAAACTCCGGTTGGGTGGAGTTTTGCCTCCGACGATCAAGTTAGAACGTTTCCAGATGTATAAAAGTGCGGAATATAAAGGTTTTTCTCTCTGATCCAGAGAGAATTCTGCAATTAATATTGCTCGGTTTTTATATGTAATTATGAATGTGTAATAAATGTGGATTTTCCTCTATTTATAGTGGAAGGGGATTAGTTCCCCTTTTAGGGTTTAAGTGCCACGTGTCAGCAGAGGATTGGATCCTCTTGGGCCTCTCTGAGGCTGACACGTGTCAGCATGCTATTAGGCCACGTGGACAGGGTATTTTTACCCTTAACAAGCGGCGAATTCGGGTGACGTACGGTTGTCGAGGCGACGACACTGAAGGCGACCAAGTATGGTTTTAAATCGAAAAATAAAATTGCAATTGGTAGGATCCACTTGAAAATTCTGGAAGAACCAAGGTAGATTCGAAATTTGTAGGCAGATCTATGTACACATCCGCCTGTGATCGATGGATAATAGGTCGTTACTACTACCTAGATCAAATTTACAATTTTGTCTCTTAATCTAGCTCTGTCAATTTTAATTTAGATAGTGGCAAGTTAGGGTCGAATCCTAGGGAAACGGGGGTATTGCACAATCAATGCGAAATCTAAGATAAATTGCAAGTAACAAAGAGGGGTTTTATGGTTTGGTTTTTGAAGAGTTTTATGATCAAACTATCTATCAAAATCGACTAAATTAAACCAACATTAAGAAGATTAAACTAGACACTTTAAAATGAAGATGAAGAGCAAGATTATAGAGGTAATAATGGCAAAAAGCACTAGGGAGAAGGGGTTCTAATCATGACCAACAAGACACTAATGAAAATTAATAAGGAAATATACTAAGGAGTTCAAACTCTACTCAAAGCAATTCATTCTCATGCAACTACTCAAAGCAAGTTGATGAAAGCAATCAACCCTAAACTAGATCATTCTCATGCATCTAATCTAGGACTAAACCATTGGGGTTATAGGTCCACACAATAACTCCAAGCATATTTATGCACAAATCATCAACTCAAGGTAAAATCCAATCAATAATCAATAGGAACTCAAATAGACATGATTTTCACCCCCTTCCCTAGCTAAAAATCTAAGCTAGAGAAAGGAAAATAGCCATGACAAATAAACTAAACACATAGTCAATACTAACACAACCTAGCATGATTCTAAGTGAAAGAGAAATCAATGAAACTTATAAAGCATAGAAATTTATGAAGAAAATATGAATAAGAACAATAAAACTAAGTATTAGAGAAATAAGAGAAAAGATTACTATTATAAATGTTGAAGGATTACCCAATCATCAAAGTCCTTGCAACAAATTAGAACAAAGCTTGAATATTTGATTACAAAGATTGAATCTTGAAGACTAAGTGTTTTCTCTCTCTAAAAGACATGCATTTTCTCTCTCTACAAAGTGTTTTTTTTATTTTTGCCAATGAAATAGTTGATGATTGAAAAACTCAAGCTCAAGCCTATTTATAGTCTTCTATTATAATAAGGAAAATGGGCAAGGGAGAGGGCTCTCCGAATAGGCTGCCGAGCCCTCTCGAAGTCGGGTAAGAAGTTCGCTAGACCTTGATTGCCACGCCCGCGGCTGGCCATCTCCCAGCCTTCTCCGGAATCTGTTTCATAGCTTAACAACCCCCTGTCGGCGCACGCGGCTAGCTGGAGCAGCGCGCCCTCTCCTTTGCAGCATCTCCTCTTCCCTTGATGAGCCTTTTTAGCGACTCCACTCCGTCTAGCAATCAAAAATTCGCCCACGAGTGCTAGGAGCTATCAAAACAAAAAAATAGAAGGTAAAAAGTAGAAGAAAAGATAAAAGAAAATGGAAAACACGAGAGGGAGCTAAAGTAACTAAAATAGGAGTAAAAACGGTAAGAAAAGGTGCAAACAAGTGACAAATTGGGGGAATTCGCTAGCGAAAGAGGTTGAAATGGTGGCACAAATGCCACTCATCAGCTTGAAATTTCCGGATGTCCGAGGAGAATCCGCCTGAAATTTCAAGATCCTCCTTGGTTCATCGGGATATTTTAGGCGGATCTACTTATCCGCCTAAAAATTCCGGATGTCCGAGGTGGATCAGTCTGAAATTTCTGGATCCTCATTGGTTCATCCGAATATCTTAAGCTGAAGTCCTATTTTTTTCGTGATTAATTTTTTTAAAAAAACTGATTAATATTATTATCAATAGTAATGTTATTGTTGTTGTTGTTGTTGTTGTTGTTGTTGTTGTTGTTTTTGTTTTTGTTTTGTATTATGGTTATTAGTATGTTGCGAAATATGTGGTTTATAATAATTATTATTATTATTGTTATTAATATTGTAATTATTGTTAATGTTATTATTATTATTATTATTATTGTTATTATTATTATTATTATTATTATTATTATTTATTTATATCGTCCTTATTTTTATAAATAATGTTGTTGGTGACGGTGTTGTTCTGAAATTATTTTTTTGAATATTTATATTTGTTGTTCAGCTTTAATCAAATAGTTATATTTGTAATTATTACTAATATTTGATTTGTACTTATTTAATGTAGATTGAGAGTTCGGTGCTCGTCATCATATCACGACGTTTGAATGCGTCTGTTAGGAGGGATTCATGTCGTTCAGTAATTACGGGGGCATCGCTTCGTCATGAGCAGCAATATGGGTCTCCTAGTAGTTGGTCAGGAGAGCATCAGTCACAAGGGAGCCGCCCCATGTACTTGTCGGGTGGACTACCTACATTTGACAATGAGGACAAAGAGTGGGAAAGTCATGATGATCGAGACGAAGAGTCGGACCCTCAAGAATATCGTATAGAGGGGTCAGCATGAGAGATTTGTTAGTAGTCAAGTGAGTCAACCTACTACCAGCTCAGTAGAGACATGGTTAGTGCAGCAGCCGATGCCAGGTGGTCCTGAGGATGGGACTGTTATCCCTAGTTTTGGTGGTCATGTGGCGTCATATGTTTAGGGCAAGAAGGAGCAAAATGTTTTGCCTTGTTTGAGTAGGACACAATTGTGTTCTGAATTGGTTAATTGGCGAGGTCGTCTTGCACAAGGGAACCTCGAATTAATTGATGGTAGTGGTCTGTCTCACTAACCCAGGATTATGTTTAAGCGTCTCGATTGGTCGTTGATTTCTGCTTTTGTTGAGAGATGGCAACCAGATACGAACACATTTCATATGCCATTTGGGGAGATCACGATCATGCTGCACGATGTGTAACACATTCTTGGGCTTCGTTCTGATGGTTCCATGGTTTCCACCACTCCTAGCACGGACTCCATACAGGACGTGTGCTCAGTTACCATGGATATGACTGCGGATGTTGAATAAGAAGTACGGTACTAAAACGATTTGGCAGGGTAGTGGGGTGCTGACTGAGAGGACTTTTGGTACGACTTTGGAGGCGCAGAGGCCCTTTTGTGTCCATTATACTACATACATGTGGTTAGTACTAGGAGGATCACTGTTTTTAGACAAGAGTGGTAATCACACTCATCCTTCCTTCCTCCACGAGCTTGTTGTTGAAGGTCTTTCGATTAATGAGTACTCTTAGGGTTCAGCTACTCTAGCCTATGTATCGGAAGTTGGGTACGACATCAAGAAAAGATGCTGATTAGATAGTTGGTTGTCTCACGCTTCTGCAAGCGTGGATTTATGAGTACTTTTCGTGCTTTCGGCCTCAGCAGGGTACCTTGACGAGGGAGCTTAATATTCCGTGTGCGTTTGCTTGGGATGTTGGATCGGGATACCCTAACAAGAGCATGGAGCGCCTCTTAGCTTTTCGTACTAGACTGGATGAGCTGACTGACCATGAGGTTAACTGGCTCTCGTACGGAGTTGATCCTACATGACACGTGCCACCCACTTTATTTATTGGCTGCATTCAGTACCGTAGCATCATTTAGCCGTACTTGCCTAATCGAGTGGTTCGATAACTTGGATTTGTGCAATTCCAAGGAGCATTATCACGCTTGAGAAGGCCAAGAGACCGACCAACTTGAAGATGTATCGGGTAGAATTTCCGACTGAGATGACATTTGTGATGTGCACTAGGTTTGTCCATGGTTCGTCTTTCTGTGTAGTTTTAGGTACCCACACCAGACTTGGTCGTCGAGTTCCTACGGTCACTCCTGGTTACATGCAGTGAATGTATAGATTTTCTCACCCTTGTGTATCTCCTGGGGGTTCATCAGCTGGGAGTAGCAGTTTACCTGAGAGGACTAACACGAATTATGTAAGTAGTTGTGTTTTATTATAATATTAATCCGACTTATAGTAATTGTAATTTCTATAATATGTTCTTTTTCTTATTTGCAGTGGAAGAGTTGGTCCATGGAGATTCACCAAAGAGCACTGGATGAGTATCCCAACATGTCGCGTGAATTAAGGGCAATGACTGAGCAGCTAATAGTTGATTGTAAGGCGATGATAGGGTTGTAGATTACTCTTTATTTGTATTAGTGGTTGCATTTTTATTACTTATCTTCATTATTTTATATTACATTTTATTTAGCATGTAATGTAACAACTTGACACTTTTACATTTTGTTTTGTTGGAACTTAGTTTAATTACTTTTATTAATCTATATTACATACCTACAACTGTTCAACCTTAGTGAAAGTACATAAATAAGTTCATTACCTAATTAATGCATCCCACATGTTCCTTCTAACTTCATATTGCTAATCCCATCCATCAACACTTGGCTCATGGTGCTCGGTCCACCAACCTGCACTTGGGGGAAGAGGTGAATCTTGTGCAAGATCAAGACGGATGAAATGTGACCCACCAACTATAGCGATAAAGAACTCTTGAGTGGGTGCCTTGACTGTGCTTCGTGCCCGCAACGGTAACACTGTGATGCATGGGTAGTAGCAGATTGGTACGCTGCCTATACCAAGACAAATCACCCTTGCGTTGGACCAAGTAGCAATAGGAAATAAATCTTAAATTGCTACCATCTAATGCCGCATATAAACCGCTCCACCATCCCATCGAATAAGTTCTACATTCATCCAAACCCTTCCAATCCCGTAAATCCTTTGGTATAACATTGGATGAGCGGCGACCTCGTTTGCTATTGTTTCCCGCGCGGTAAACCATTGCGCCTGATCACCAAAGAAGAAGTCAGCCACATAGCGAAAGCCATAGTTTCCATCACCAATGACATCCTTCAATTCCATGATGTAAGGCAACATCGGTCCTGGAAGCAAGTCCAAATACCTGGATTAACTGAAGTTACACTGATCTTCTGCACAAAATTAATGGTCATTTATTAGTACACTACAAGATGAAATACGTGTAATTCACAATAGGCGTGTAATTCACAAGTGCAAATACGTGTAATTTCATGACTAACCTGAGGTTGTGCCTATTTGTTGTGTACCACGTTGAGTGTTTAAACGGTTTACATATTCGAAATAACAAGGATCACCCCTGGTATCATTGTTCCTTTGTCGACCTCGAACATTGTGGTTTACATGTGGTTCTTCCAGGTTTGCATGATCCTGATGCAGCTCCTCTTTAATGATGCGAGATACATTTCGAAGTATAGTAGGATCACTACCAATGACCTCGTCAACCAGGGAATGAAAATGTGCAGCTTCCTCGGTTGAATCGTTAGCGAAGAAAAGTATATCAACACCATCACCAATAACCAAGGTCTTCCAAAATGGATGAATTTTCCTGATATACGAGCCTAACTGTGCAACTAGCAAATAATGTATCTAGCAAGGACATGGTAAACCATGGGTCACACGCATTGCACATCCACAACGCTCATGCACCTGGTAACTCAACTCCCTCATCCTTCTCGTCTCATCACCGAGAATTTTCAAACTATGTTGAGAAACTTTGCCATTTATACGTGACAGTGGCAATTGTCTGTACTTTTCACCAAATTTCGATCTTGATGCCTCCAAACCATTACGAATTGCAATAATCTGATTACCAATATGACAATGTTCTCAGGCCCATATGGTATCCAAAGAACTTGCCGTTGATTCAGATTATAGAAAAAATTATGATTTTTAATTAAAATTACTGAAATGAAGTAAAGACAACAACTACAACATTATAACAACGAACCTGTCGATGATTCAAACCACGTCTTCACTACGAATGTTGGCTTTCAATTCAACTCTACAATTACTCGTGTTACCAAAGTGAAGAACTTGGTTCGTCCAAAATGTCACAAATTTGATTTTATAACAAAGCCACGTTCTCTCAACGTAAGTAATCATTGATGGATAACTTGCCCACCTAGCTTTCACTGTATTTACAACAATATTATAATCTGCCTTGGTTGTAGCATCCATGGTACGTTTCCATTCGCCATTTTTAAAACTCGCACCAATCTTCTTATTTTTGAACAAATCAGTCACCCTAGCCTCCACATCTTTGTTAATGTGCCATCGAAAAAGTAAATGTGATGTCCCTGGAAACACTTCTCTCATTGCCGCACAGAGGCCAAGTTCACAATCTGAAAAAAATACCGATGGTTCTTTATCATACCCAATCAACTCCCTTAATCTCTGCAACACCCACTTATAGCTTTCCGTGCACTCGTTGCGCATGAACACATAACCAACGAGGAAATTCTGATTTTTTGGTGTTACACCTACTAACTCAAAGAACGACATCCCGTATCGGTTGGTCTTGTATGTCGAATCCATACCGACTACATGTGGGTATGTGCGTAGTATGTTTACCGTGATTGGTTGCACCATAAACGCATGTTGTAAAACGCCGAGGTCATCGGCTATGACCTAGTAAATATACTGACTCTGTCTCGCCAACTGAAGAAATTGCTGAACAACTCCTCTACCTTCAGACATCTCCATTCTCAAGTCATTCGGCAATTGTAAATGTGTCTGATGTTTGGATGATCATCAGGAAGTTGCTCTGCAATAGTTTCCATGATGTTACGCGGTGCAACCTTGTACTTTGTCATGTCACGCACAACCTTTTTTGCATCCGGGCTCAAGCCACTAATTTTGACGATGACCCTCCTAATACGCAATCATTGGATGGTTATAGGTCCCAGTTTCATCATTTTTTGCACGGATCTTCCAACTGTCTGTGATGAATTTATAATATATCTTGATGTAGAAAGGACAAGCATTAGATTTGGTTTTGTGTACTTACTTATTGCGTTCTCTAAATCTGTCGGCTTGCTCTTCTTGTTTAGTTTCGTAGAGTCCGACTCTACGCGGAAGAGAAACCCGCCTAAGACCTTCCCACTAATTAAGGCAACTAATCATGTAATCACAAATTAAACAACAATTAAGAGAGAGAAGCAAAAGACATTCATACCATTGGCGCGTGCTTCGCTCGAACCCAAGCTCTTACTTCAAAACTCAAACCCTGCAAGTGCGAAGGTCTCCGACGTCTCGTACCCACGAACCCAACCCGAACGATCCAAGTCCCGAAGTTTAGTCGAGACCCGACCAATAAAAACTAGAGTTTTACAAACTTAAGGTTTTCTCACTTTTCTAAGGAGATGCCTTTTTAGTTTCACTCAAGTGTTCTTCACGAATCCCAAAACCTTGGTATTTATAGGGAAATGAACCTTGATTTCCCATTCACAATCAATGTGGGAGATTTACAATTTTTCCATTTTATTTTAATCAAAATAAAAATAAAATTGCAATTCAATCACCAAGTTACAAGTGGAAATAGGAGAGAGGAAGAAGGTGAGGACCACCAAGGGAGAGGACTAACCCAGCTTGCTCCCCAAGGCAATGACTAAGCCTTGGTCCCCACTTAGCAAAACCGGACCACCATGCCAAGTGGCTGGCTGGCAGCCTGCCTTGGCTACCAAGGCTGCTAGCTAGCACCTAGCACCAAGGCTGGGCAGCCTGGCCATCCAGCCAGCACACACGCACACAGCCAGCATGCATGCGGAGCCAGCCAGCACTAGGCTAGCTAGCACACAATGCTTCGTTGCTGTTTAGTGCGTGGTGCTGGGCGCTGCTATGCGAGGCACACGCACACACACGCACAACCCAGCATGCCTAGCACGCTGCTAGCAGGTGCGTGGTGCTGTGCGATGCTGCTGCTAGCAATGCACCAATGCCTAACATGTTAGCAAGGCCTAGCCTTGCGATGCGATGCTTGGCCAGCTAGCACACACAGCCTCGCACACACACATTGCTTGCGATGCTGTGTGCTTTGCTGTGCGATGCTCAAGCTTGGTGCGTGGCAGCGTCGGCTAGGCGCCATCACGCTAGCAAGCACGCAAGGCTGCAATGCTTGCGAGCAGTGCTAGGCTATGCCTAGCGACGTGCGATGGCTAGCTAGCACGCATGGCCCTAGCACGCCTAGCATGCTAGGCTTGCGGATAGCATTGCGAAGGGTCTTGCTTAGCCTAGCACCCACATGGCTAGGCCAATGTGAGGCTACGGCTAGGCTCGAACTTGTAATTTGATTAATTTCACGTCTCGTCAAATTCCAAATTCGACTCGACTTGCGACGCTTGGTCTCGATGCTCTAAGCTCGATATCTGGCGTCTTTGTTCGTAAAACTCTGAAGACTCATCAAATCATTCTGATTGATTCGTCGTCTCAGATCAGTTGTTCGATTGGGTTTGACCCGAAGGGTGCAGTCAAGATTAAGCTGTAATAATAATGTTGCATTAATATTACTGATCGGAAGAGGCCTCCACCTAGGCATTCCGATCACTTGACCTTACTAAAGAATTAGCTTTTTAATAATTCTGAACCCTCTACCGGAATAATACACTTGTTGGAAGGACACCGTTCCTTTCAATCTCCCACTTGTCCTTCCGGACAAGTATGCAATTTGTGTATAGCCCTTTTCCTATGTCGCTTAATGTTTTTTCATGAACTATAAGGTAAGATCCTTCGTCATCCTTATTACGTCAAGAAGTGTTTCTCGATTCCCGAGTTTGACTGTCAATAAACAGATGATTTCTAAAATCCCTCTGAGCACGGCCATGCATTTTCACAGTCTCACTATTCGAGAGGCCTTGTAAACAACAAAGACATGTTCCCTATTGTTAATAGGGGGATATTCCGAGTCTTGTACTATAAGCTTCCCTTACTAAGAGGACCTAGTCGCCTGAGTGTTGCCATTATAATCCCCATTTACGGAAGACGTTTGACAACATCTAAACGACTAGTACTTAAACAAGAGAACTTGCAATACTCATGGTCGAGGAAAAAGGTTCCGATAGCTATAATGAGAAATATACTTATGACGATTTTATATCTCTTAAAGTATTCTCATAGGTCTATCCGGTACATTTCCAAACTAGTACCTGTGGAAATAATTTATGACTATCATGTCCTTGTAGCACAAGAAACGGTGCTATAAATCATACTACACACTAATCTCAAATGGTCATTAATCGCCCATCATTTAAACGACCTCGATTAGGGATAATTTTTGATTAAAATATTCAATGTTCACTTAACAGGTGTTCCTTTATCCAAGACATGGTCTTGATACCATGTTTTGAATATTCTTAGAAATCAAATGGACTCATTATTTAATTCTAAACCACAATTAAATAGATATGGAGTAATCATAAATTTGCAGAAAATGTAATTGCTCCAAAATTGAATGGTTCAACATAGTGTTTTACATTAAGACATCGAGTTTTAATTAAAACATCTATACAGGGAAATCAAAGCCAATCTCCAATGCGCTTGATTCCCATTGCCTCAACGTGCTTGTTGTGCTTCATTTGAGACAAAGGTTTTAGTCAGTGGATCGGCTACATTGTCGTCCGTTCCAATCTTCCAAATTCTAATTTCACCTTCGGATTTCCATTCCCTTATCATGTGAAATCGCCGTTTGACATGTTTGACTTCTAGATGTTCCATTGGCTCCCTGTCCTGAGCAATAGCTCTATTGTTATCACAATAGAGGTCTATTGGACCCTTAATTGAGGGTACAACACCAAGTTCACCAATGAACTTACGAATCCAAACTGCCTCCTTAGTTGCTACTTAAGCTGCCAAGTATTCGGCTTTAGTTGTAGAATCTGCAGTGGTGGTCTACGTATCACTCTTCCAACTAAACACTCGTCCATTAAGGCACAATATGTACCCCGACTGCGACTTCGAGTTGTCTCTTTCAGTTTGGAAGCTCGCGTTAGTATAACCTTCAATAATAAAATAATTCTAGCCACCATAGACTAGGAATTTATCCTTGTTGCTTTTCAAGTACTTTAGGATATTCTTGGCTGCAGTCCAATGCGCCTCTCTTGGGTCTGATTGGTATCGGCTCGTAGCACTCTAGGCATACGATACATCCGGTCTAGTACATATCATGGCATACATGATCGATCCAATAAGCGAAGCATATGGAATCTGACTCATTCTCTCTCGCTCATCAGGTATTTGTGGACACTGTTTCTTGCTGAGAATTATGCCATGGGACATGGGTAGGTGCCCTCTCTTGGCCCCTTCCATGTTGAATCGTGCCAGTACCTTAAATATATAAGTACTTTGGATCAATTTAATCATCCTTTTAGATCTATCCCTATAGATCTTGATGCCCAATATGTACTGTGCCTCTCCCAAGTCCTTCATTGAAAGGCATTTTCCCTGCCAGCCCTTTACAGACTCTAACAATTTAGTGTTGTTTCAAATGAGTAATATGTCATCGACATAAAAGATTAGGAATGCGATGTCACTCCCACTGACCTTCTTGTAGACACAAGACTCATGTGGATTCTTGATAAAAACCAAACTTACTAATGGCTTCATCGAATCGCAGATTCCAACTTCTGCTTGCCTACTTAAGTCCATAAATGGACTTTTTAAGCTTGCATACCTTCCCAGCATTAATTGGATCAACAAAACCTTCCGGCTGTGTCATATACATAGTTTCTTCCAAAATCCCATTAAGGAAGGGGGTTTTGACATTCATTTGCCATATTTCATAATTGTAATATGCAGCAATCACTAGGATGATCCGGACGGACTTAAGCATTGCAACTGGTGAAAAGGTTTCATCATAATCTAGCTTTGTATATAGATACATTTCCATCTTTTTCTGTCTTCAATTTGAAAATCCATTTGCAACCGATAGGTGTTTAACCCTCGGGCAAAGTCACCAAGTCCCAGACTTGATTTTCAGACATGGAGTCCATCTCGGATATCATGGCCTCTTGCCATTTAACAGAGTCGGGGCTCGTCATAGCTTGTTTGTATGTCACTAGCTCATCTCCATCCGTAACTAGGATGTCTTGATCTTCGGTTAAGATAATACCAAGGTATCTGTCTGGTTGAGATCTTGGCCATTGCGACCTACGCAGGGTAATAGGTTGAGCAGTTGTATTGTCGGTTTGACTCTTACCAATGGCAACAGTTGCTTCTAAAGCACTTTGATTGTCAGTTTTGTCATGTTGACTTTATTGCTTTACCTCTCGAACTTTGTCGAGTTCGATTTTCCTCCCACTTGTCATTTTGGAAAGGTGTTCCTTCTCAAAAAAGACACCATCACGAGCAACAAACACTTTGTTCTCGGATTTATTGTAGAAGTAATACCCTTGATTTATTTTGGGTAGCCCATAAAGAAACACTTGTCTGATTTTGGGTGAAGTTTGTCAGAAATTAATCTCTTGACATATGCTTCGCAACCCTAAATCTTAAGAAAAGACAACCGCGAA